CTCTATCCCCTGTAGTTAGGTATCACCCCAAACAATGGCACAAATAAATTATTTTCAGTCCCCACTACTTTATTTTACATCATCTAATTATTTAGAATTAAAATGAGTTTGAACAGAAAGTGACAGCTTGGAGTGTTCTTAGTGGAGGCTGCATTTAGGAGAAAGTGCTAGAAATAGGTTTAGAACAGAAAACACTTAAGAATCTTTAAAACAGCTTCACACAACTTTGATGCCTTCCTACTGATGACTACTTTTCAGCTCAGAGTAAGTAATTCATTGTATAGAGAGAATTTACTCAAGTTAGAATCTTTGAAACCTTCCATTCATGTACAGCAGTGCCTAATATTTGCTCCTGTCTCTAAACTCTGACGTTATGTAGATTAGGTGAAGATATTCTTCAAATGAAATACAAAATAATGGAGAACTCACAGAAAGTATGTATCCTCAAGTTACATTTAAGTTCATTTTAAACAGTTCCTGTTAGAAATACATGATTGATACCATAGCTGTATTATTAAAAGTCCACCTCAAAAATCATGAACGCTTATTAAAGTGAAATTGGTGTTCCACAAGCCTCAATTTTTGTTGGCGGAAGCGACTATAATTATCTGTTTCCTTTTCGTCTGTTGATCTTACTTTCAAACATCTTGTTTTACCTGGACTCGGTCCTTAAGCTGACCCATGTTGGATTATTGTTTTCCTCCTTCAACACACATTTAAATTTGCCAGTAGTTTCTAATTTTTTGTTGACTTTACAAGCTTAAACAATGCATATGTTTATGTTTAATGGAGTATGCCTGTCTCCATTGACTTTAAACACAAAGTTCTTTGATTTCTCCTATTTCTGTCTTTTGTGCTGAGCTTTCAGCCATTATATTTTTTTATATAGAATTCCTACAGTGTGGGAACAGGCCCTTCAGCCCAACAAGTCCACACCGACCCTCGGAGCATCCCACCCAGCCCCATTCCCCAAACTCAGTTAACCTACGTATCCCTGAACACTACGGGCAATGTGGCATGGCCAATCCACCTAGCCTGCACATCTTTGGACTGTAGGAGGAAACCGGAGGGTACCCACGCAGACACTGGGAAAACGTGCAAACTCCACACAAACAGTTGCCTGAGGGGGAATAGAACCCAGGCTCCTGGTGCTGTGAGGAAGCAGTGCTAACCACTGAGCCACTGTGCTGCCTTGCTTGCACTTAAGAATTTTCTACTAATTCCCTTGGTCCTGCTAGAGTTTTACTTTATAAACTGTCCGTCTTGCTTTCTTCCTCACCAACTTCAGCAGTATCTTCAAAATTCAGCCCCTTTGCACATCCTGCCAATTCCTTCTCACTTCTGCCTCCCAGGAAAGAGTCTGTGGTCTGCATGATGCCTGAAATACCCCTGAAAAATTCAAGATAGTGAAGCTGTATCTGCAGCTGTTCCCATGGCTATTTCTCATTCTCCTGAGATTGAAGAGAGATTCTATCTTAAAGGGCACAAACATGATAGGGTAAACAGTCAACTTGCTGTCTTCAGAAGCAACGTGGTCAGGGGTGGAATAGGAACGTATATGTCAGTTACTTAGTGATGAACATTGACAGTGAAGCAGATTTGTTTGTTTTTGTCTTGAAAGATTTTGTTTGGAGGACACTCTTCAAGAATAACAACAAAATCTGATTGTTCATGTTTAAACATATCACCATTTTATATGATCGACAGAACACTTAAGAGAAGACAGATTTACTTGTGAAATGTGCACAGCTTAGGTGAAATGTAATCATTTTACATTACTTCCTAAACATTATCTGCAAGGATCCATCCAGTGAGCCACAAAGGTGATCTGGTGTTTATCTGTACTCCTCGAAGATTATGTGTACTGAAACTCAATTCAAGTTCAAGGCAGAGTTGGACTTGATTCAAATGTTCTGAAATTCAAGAAGTTTCCAGAAGATGCAGAGAAGTGTCATTTGCTTGCAGCATAATTTTAAAGCTTTTGTTCTGTTGACTGATGATTCTTGGTGATTCCGTCAAAATATCTTTTGTGCACTCTGGATTTACATTGTCGAAACCTCAATGAGTTCAGCTACTAGGTATGATATCCAGGTGACTTGGCATTCTCTCGATAGTGCAACACTGCAGTTTTTATTCGTTACTTTTTAATGAGGAGTTTTTATTTCACACACACTTTTTTTTAAAGCAAATTTTCAATTACTTTGGTTGCTTTGTTCCTCAATTCCAGCTGCACGTGGATAAATCTAACTGAATTGTTATTTCTGTTTCTGAAATCAGCTCTGTTCATGCTTTTCCTGAGAAGACATTCAACACTAATACACCTGCCATTGTCATTCCGTTGGAGCTTTAATGTAAAGTTTCAATCATGTTGATGCATGTTATAGATGATAACTTTAAATAATTGATCTTGTGGTTTGCAATTTCTCTCCCTGTACCCCCCATTCCCCTGACCCACCCACCCACACCCCCACCCCCAACTCTCTTCCAAACCCCCCTCCCCCACCCATATGCTCTTAGTAAACAACTAATTTTGACCCCACCGAAATTGGCACCAAATTATGGGTTGTACTATGCCATGCATTGATGAGCATCTGCTTTAAGCTACCTTGAACTTAGTGCATTTTAGTCCTGTCAGAGAAAGGAGATGCCGTGAAGTCAAGGCTCTGAGGTTAACAATTGCCGTGTGCCCTAGTTACAAGATGATGGGTGAGCAATAAAAGTGTATATAAGCAGGAAATTCATGCTATATTGATCCTCAATGCGGATTGTCTGCAAACAGTTACTTGAAAATGTTGACATCGCCATCTAATCTGGCTTCACATTGATAGAACTGCTTTCAAATGTCTTTTCAGTAAAACTTGTATTAAAGAAAGAAAAAGCTTTGGAGGTCCTCTCCAGAGGAGTAAACCACATACCCATTTTTATCAAAGTAACAATCACGTCATGGTTTAGGTGTAGATTGCCATTTGCATTATCTGTAAAGAACAATGCTAAAGATTATTTTTCTACACTCCTCTCCCTACACCGTATTGCAGTATTCAACAGTTTCCTAACTAAGGTTTTCGTGGTCTGTATTTTCCCAAATTTGTCCAAATGCTGATCAATCTTTTAACGAATAACCAGCCTAAAGCTTGCTAAATGCCACTTTGAAACTGCTTTCCTATTCCTGCTTGATAATTTCATGGTTTATTTTTGAAGTGCACTCTGGATTTACTTTGTTGAAATTTGAAAGAAGTCAGCTGCCAGGTGGATCATTTCAATGACATTTTCCCTGTAAAACAACACTGCAGTTTTTTTTAACTCATTACTTTTTAGTAATCAGCAGCATCTTATTTCTGAGTCAGAAGGTTGTGTATTCATCTGAAATGCCATTTATGTTTGCTATAAGGAATTGAGCACTTAATCAAGGATGACACTTAAGTATTACTAAAGAGGAGCAACATCTATTCGAATGAGACCTAGAATCAAGGTCTCAGGAGGACAAAATGTTTCAAAGGGGCTCTTGGGAGAACACCAGGACAACCCCAACATGACACCAGGTTGACTTGTCATTGATCTTCTGGTTACGAGCAAGTTTACCAGAATGTTTACCTGTTGAACGTGTGACTTTGCCAATATGTAGATCATGAATTACTCCATGTCCTTTCAAGTTGGGGGGAGAAAAAACAAATCACTTGTTTTCTGCCTTTTTCTCTTTCAATTTCACATTTTCACTTTTCCTCTTCGCCCTTTTTAATACTTTGTAAAAGTTAGTCAAAGTTTTCTCTTGTAGTAGTATAAAAGTGGGTTTTGCATCTAGCTTTTCATAGCTGTATCTTCGAATCAGGCAATCCTGTGAACAACAGTCCATTCTGTTTTAGAGGTACAGCAATAAAATCACTGAGTTTTGAGATACAATAGATTCAAAAATTACCTGATCTCTCTTTCTTTCTTTCTCTCTTTCTTTCTTTCTCTCTTTCTTTCTTTCTCTCTTTCTTTCTTTCTCTCTTTTCGACACCCACCTCACCTTCGTGCCTATGTTCCCAGTCCTGCCTCATTCTCTTACTCAATCTGTAATTAAGAGTATTTAAGAGTCGAGTCAAGTCAAGTCAATGCACGGACTAATGGCACTTGTCTCAAAATCTGCAAACAACTCAGGGTGGTGTATTCAACTTCAGGCTGAAACTTTGTTTAAACTATTGGCTGGCTGGATTCTAACTACGGTCATACGTTCTGGACTTGAATTTGTCTAACAGTTTGTGTTATTTTAGAAGGGATGGAGGGAGGGGAGAGTGCAGAATGTTGCATACACTGATTTTCTACAGATAAATTACTGGGCGTGACGCTATGTGTTTCAAAGGGAAGCCCAGCTCAATTTTGGAAGAAGGTACTCGTAAATGTTTTATGCTGTTTCACTAAGTGTTCAGCTATTTAAAGTAATATTCTGTTCAGCTAATATAAGTGAATTTGGCATTAATGTACATAAAATTACTGATGGAAGTAAGGTTTTAAAACCTGTTCAGCAAATGATTCTTTAAATAGAAAATTTGGAATATATCCAGTCATTTGGGTTTGGTCCTTTTGATCAGTCACAATTACTGGACATGATGAAAGACCCCAAAAGTTGTGTCAACGTGGCTAGTGACGTATACCTGAATACATGAATCTATTCATAGTAGTTACATTGGAACTATAAGCAAAACAATTTAAGAAACAGATGGGAACACGTTTTCATTCCCATTATAGATATTAGGACCATCGCACACTTATAGTCATAATCCTTTTGGTGCCTCTTCCTCATGTACAGTAACAGCGTTGAAACTTTGCCAAAGTTATCCTCTTGAGACCCTACTCTATAGTCCATCTTTTTCAGTTTAAATTTGCTTCATGGTAATATTTACTCCTCTTAACATGCTCAATGAAACATACTTAAATGAAGCAATGAAATGTCTTGCTACTTACAAGCTAGTAAAAATAAAACTAAAAGATATATTCTTGTTTTCCTCTCTTGTCTTTATCAGAAATGTGTGTACTGCAGAAAAAAAGTGAAGAGCTTCTCAGGGGCCTGTATCCAGTGTTCCTATGAACATTGTTCTACGTCATTTCATGTGACATGTGCTCATGCTGCAGGGGTTGTAATGGAACCAGACGACTGGCCGTATGTTGTGTCTATCATCTGTTTCAAGCACAAAACAACCACTCAGAATGTAAGTATAAGCATCAATTACACTGGGCCAGTCATGGCAGACGATCAGTTACATTGAGCTGGTAACTTGCAAAATAAAAAACGAAAGAACTGCAGATGCTGTAAATCAGGAACAAAAACAACGTTGCTGGAAAAGCTCAGCAGGTCTGGCAGCATTTGTGAAGGAAAGAAATCTATGTGGGGTAACTTGCAAAGTCTAGCATACTCGCAATATTGTTAGATCTGCTCAGGGACTGTTTAATAAGCCCTAGTATCTAATTTTAACCCATAGAACTGTGCTGCAGATTTACTTTTAAATAAAACAAACCTTATTGTATATTTTTAAAAAAACACAAGGACTATTACCTTATAACTGCATATGTTATGCATTCTGGTTTACTTTTTAAATCTTCCAAGAGTTCTCTTGTAAGACACAACAGTCTTAAAGTTAAATGTTATTTACTTATCGAAACATATCAAGGGCCACTGATAAGTATGCCACGGTCCTCTGGAGATTTTTTCTAAGCTGCACCTATTCTCAGAGGTAAAACTTTCATTTACCCTTTCTTGACCATAGATGTCTTCATCCCTCATTTTGGTTGCTCTTCCAATACTTTAAAGCTTCTTTGCTACTTTCGTTTGCAGTTAGACACCGTGAGGCTAACTGTAGATTCTCCCACTGACTTCAGACTATGAAATTTTCCAGTTTCTGTTGTTCATAAAATTCAAACTGAGCTTAAGCCTTTTCCACTGTCTACTTTGTCAATGATAGTGTTTTGTTCTGCTAGACTGTAATTCTTCCTTAATTGTTATTTATTTTGGCTAACTTCTCTTAGTGAGCCACACACGTAAGTTTCAAACTGCAACTAAAAATTGTCCCGCAAACATCCAGATAAATTGAAACCGGGGAGACTTCCAAAGCTCCATTCATCTGCATGATTATGTAGTCTGCTTTGGATTGACCATTAAATTAATTATCTCTAATTAAAAATTTATTCTTTGATCAGATGAAATAAATGGATTTACAGGATTTACTGAATGCTTTTAAGTCATTTATCTCCAAATCCCAAAATAAAATTATCCCTCTGGACTGCATTTATTGCAAGGATGGTAGACAACCAGCTGTTTAGCTAATTAAACCCACTTTTCCTTTGATCTTATCCTTCTACCTATTAACCTCTTAAAACAACATGGCCCAAATCATTTACATGTAATACACTCCATGCTGCTTAATTGCATTTATCTCATTTTCTACAGTAAATTTTATTTTCTAAAACTAAACATTGCATGCTGTAATATAATCCCAGATGATATTAATACTGGACGAGTATGATCCAAGAGTGAAATCTGGCTTGATAGACCACAAGTTTATTTTTTGCAGTCGGTTACTGTAGTGGTCAGTCACTGAGGATATTGACATGACGTTCCAATTGTTCTTTAACAAAATAACCCAAGTTTATTACACTAAAGCAAAATAAATTATTATAATGTGACAATACAATAAAGTTCTTAACATAAACAGCAAAACAAAGTTTCAGTCTGTTTCCCACTAATATCTTTGTACAGATACTCAATCCCAGTGAAGTATTTTCTATCACAGCTCTATAATTTATTTCTTAACTGACTCTTTCCAGTTGTTCTTGCACTGCTGAAATAATTTTATGACTTCCCAGTCCTGCTGGCCTGATCCTGTTTTCGGTTCTGCTGGTCTACACATCTTATCAGTTCTGACAACTTAAACTACTATACAAACTCATACAGCTTGGAGATTTCACAAACTAAAACCCTTCTGCTAAGATGACTGAACTGAAAGCTTGTTTTTCTGCTATAAGGAAACTGTTCTCCTGAATGGCTGACTCTTCTGATCTGTAGCCAAAGCTAAACTAGTATCCCTGTTCTGTTTTCTCTGTCTGTCATAAGTTCAGCTGTTAAAAACATTTCATCAAAAATAGCACAGGTATCTGGCTAGGCACTTACAGTCATATAGCTGAGAAACAGATCCTTCGGTCTAACTCTTTCATGCTGACCAAGTTTTCCAAACTGAACTAGTCCCACTTGCCTGTGTTTGGCCCTTTCCTATTCATGTACCGGTCCAAATGTTTCTTCATCATTCTGACTGTATCTGAATCAACCACTTCCTCTGTCAATTCATTCCACATACAAACCATCCTCTGTGTGAAAAATTTGCCCCACAGGTTCCTTTAATTGTTTCTCCTCTCACCTTAAAAAATACTCAACAACAAAAACAGAAGTTGCTGGAAAAGTTCAGCAGGTCTGGCAGCATCTGTGAAGAATAGATCAGAGTTAACGTTTCGGGTCCAGTGACCCTTCCTCAGAAATACTCCCTCTGGGTTTGAATTCCCCCACCCTAGGGAAAAGATCTTTGCTATTCATCTTATCTATGCCCTTCTTGGTTTTGTAAACCTCTAAGTTCACCCTGAGTCTCCTAGGCTAGGACTTCTTTCATTAGAGCATATCTAGCCTCTCCTTATAACTCAAACCTCCAGTCCCAGCAACATCCTGGTAAATCTTTTCTGAGCCATCTCCAATTTAATAACATCTTTCCTGTAGCTGGATGACCAGAACTGTACAAAGTACTCCAAAAGTGGCCTCCCCAATGTTCTATACAACCTTAACGTAACGTTCCAACTCCTATACTCCATGATCTGAGCAACGAAGTCAAGCGTGCTTAAACACCTTAACCACCCTGTCTACCTGTGACGCAACTTTCAAAGAACTATGTACCCGAACCCCTAGGTCTCTCTGTTTGACAACACTACCCAGTGACCTAACATTAACTGTATAAGTCCTGCCCTTGCTTGTTTTACCAAAATGCAATATCTCACATTTATCCGAATTAAACTCTATCTGCCACTCCTCAGCCCATAGGCCCAGTTGATCAATATCACTTTGTAATCTTAGACCACCTTCTTCACTGACGACTGTATGACCAATTTTGGTGTCGTCCACAAACTTACTAACTTCTCAAACTGTAAAGTTTCTTATATACTATCGAGTGGCTGTGACAGTGACATATATGTAATGCTTTAACTGTGATTTCACCAGTCTGTGGAAAACCTGTTTAGTCTGCTGTTTTTATTCTAGAACTGTCAGTTACATCTTTAAAACAAAATTGTTGCTAATTTCTGCCTGTTCTCTTGTGCCATTTTGAATACTATGGTATCTAGAAAATTAATGTTTTCCTTCTTTGAGGTTTCAAGTTTAATGGAACGGTGACATTATTAGGGATATTGATGAATTCTAGTTCTGCTATTGTGCGAGTCCAAATTGCCTATTTCTCTGTACAAATACATAACATTGTCATTAAATGAGTGCATCACATAATGAAGGAGATAGTGAGACTGACAAAGAAGCCACCAAAAATCATAAAGTAGACCTTGAGAAATCTCAGGAGGAATGTTTTAAAAAGAAGTTGTTTTGAGCCCTGCACGAAATTGCAGGTATTTAAAAGCCTGCCATTCTGACTCTTGTAGTACACAACCTGCTATTTGACAAGTGGGGTTTCTTTCAAGGGACTTGTTAGTAATGTTAACTCTGAATTTAAAAAAATCATGATTTTTCTAAACTTCAGCTATTTTATACAATTGTCACCTTATCCAACACGAAGTTAAATTTGAATTTATTTTTCACATTGACCTTTCTGTGCCACTTAATAACTTTGTCTCTGAGATAATCACTCAATGTATATACCAGTTTTTATCTGTTCCTTAAAGGTTTATAATTTTAAATTTCTCTGAAAGACCTGTTAGAACATGTTCCAATTTTGATGCTCAAACACCTGATCTATTCAGTTCATATCCAATTCGGGTAGCCCCCTACATACTGGTGGTTGGCCTGTCTCCTTAGATGATGCACAAGCAGTGGGGACTCGTTGCAAGTGAGGGTTAAAAACAAAATCTGTTTATCCTACGAAAGAAAGCAAGTGTAGCAAATCAGCCAAGTCTCCTTTGGCTGTATTGTACATATATTATCAAAGAGAGAGCTCATAATACATAGAGATCAAATGAGTTGCTAACTGTGCTTGTATATACAAACCTAAATTTATTTGTGCCAGTGCACGTTCATGCTCTCATTAGTTCTCTCAACTGAGTATGAAAGAACCAATTGCCTTCAAAATTAATGTACAGCACCTCTAACTCTTATTAAAGTCTTAGATCCTAGTAAGTGGAGTAAATTATTGATATTTGATTTTCTGACAATTTCATTGAGCGTTAATATACAGTTGGTAGTACTATAGTAGAGTATTTAATCCACTGGTTACAGCTGTCTTAAGTTAAGCTAATTACATCCAATTCTCATCTTATATTCCTCATGTTTTCTTCCTCAAAAGTCACTTTGAAACCACAACATGAACTGGGCAAAGCCTAAGTAATTAACTCTCCTTTTTTTTTTTTAATAAGGATTGATCGGTAAAATATTTGTTTATTGTATCTTAATTCACTTGTAGGCCCTCTACAAATCTGGGGAGTGCGTGTTCCTGTCGCTCATGTAGTGAGTCTATTTTGAGGAAAACAGTGTGTTTCACTGAATATTGTGCATGAATAGATTATCATATCAAACACTACCCAGGTGAACAGACAAAATGAGAGGTTGTGGAATTTAAACTGAGGGATGACTGATAACACAGGATGAAAATTATAGGTTTATTTCAGCTCATGTTGTGCAATCAGAATATGAAAGTAGTTTTTTAAAATTTCTTTTAAAGTGCAGAAGTATTTGACATGCCATACATGGAATATTGTGCTTAAAGTTGAGAGAAGGGATCTTTTGGATGTAAGCTGTGTGTAGAGCAAAGATGACATTTGAGTCCAGTGCTTGGCTTTGGACTGCTGGCAACTACGCAGTACATTTTAGCCTCAGCATTTGTTGTTTCTTCAGCCTGCTTTTGAATTTGTTCAGGGGATGTGGACATCACTGGCTGAGCCACCATTTATTGCCCATTCCTAGTTGCCCTTGAGAAGGTGGAGGTGAGCTACTGTCTTGAACCACTGCAGCCCATAG